CATCCTAGCGAGTTGTAGTCCCATCTTCCTTAGTGTTTCTGAAAAGATGATGTTGAGTCCAGCTCCCCCGTCGATTAGTACTTTGGTGACAGTCATACCGGCAATAGTTGGGTCTAAAACTAGTGGGTAATTGCCTGCGTTCCCTACGCTAGTCCATTGGTCTTCTCTTGAAAATTGGATTGGATATTGTGACCAATTGAGATATCTTGGTGTAGCCGTTCTCGCCATCATGATAGTCCAGTAGTGCTAGTTTTTCTTGACGCGTTTGCTTGTGCAACTGGAGCCCCGAGAAGATCATCATCGCTACTTCCCTCGGGTTTTTGAAATCCTTTGTCCTCGTGGTTGTCTTCATCTTTCTTGTGATTGTCCTCTTTGGTGTTCTCCTTACTATCTTTTCTTGTGTATCGATCATTGAAAGTGTAGCAGTTTCGATGGTGTGTCTCCCGTTAGGGTGTAATGGGCAACGATGTTTTCAATGTCATCATATCTTGGGTTTGGAAAACTTCTTTGATTTGTCGGCCATTGCCACGGTATTGTCCGGTCTCACGCTTTCTTTCTTGATGTCGCTATTTCGATGATTTTGCCTATCCGGGTTGTCTTGGTTGCTTCTATCCAGGAACCTTTCTCGTGTTTTTTCTTCTGCAGTAATCATTTTTTTCACTGTTAATCTGAATTCTTCATTGTTTCTCGGATTTTCTTTGCGAAGTCTTGAAATTGCCACCTAGCCATGATTCCGTGAGAGAAAGCTTCAATTACTTCTCGTTCGGTGATGTCATGCACTTGAGCCTGATTCAAGCGAATCATCGATAGTAATTTCGAGACTTTCGCCCCCTTTTGCTTGAGTCCTTTCGGGATTCGCATGAGTGATCGGGTGTGTGATGATACCCACGAAATTTTCTGAAAGCTCTTTGCAAGTCTTCCCAAGTTTCGATCGATCCCGGGTTCAATTTATCGAACCATTGGAGGGCATCGCTTCAAATGCCATGGGAAAGAACAAGGTTTTGATATCATCGTCTCCTCCGCTAGTTCAATTGATTGTGAATATATTCGAGCCATTGTCTTGGTTCGGTTTTGCCATCATACTTGGAGTGGTTAGACGGTTTGAATTTGTGAGGTAATCGATCGATGCCAACCTGTTTGCAAAAGCAGGGAATCATCATGCGTTCCGGCTTCCTTGAATTCGGATTCGGCTCCTTCTTTCCGCCAAGTGTTGTTTTGATGGGAATAAGTCTGCGAGGTCTGTGCGGGTAGGCACTCTACTCCTGGTCTTCCTTGGTTGTTCAAATTGGTGGTCTCGACTATGTTCCCTCCTACTTTCTCCGTTATGGCTTCCACCGCCCAAGTCTTTCAAAAGCGGACTTCCTTTGATTTTGATCTTCTTGCTCTGCGGGTTGTTGATCTGGCGGGTAGTCTTGATCGGGCTCTCTCTTCATGCGTTCTTGGGATCGTCGACCGGAGCAAGTCCCGGAGTTGTTCGTACTTCTCTCCGTGATGTGAAGTTGCCCCGAGTTCTTCTAATGCTTCTCGAATCTTATCGTAAGGCGTATTCATGCGCGTCTTTCTTGGCTTCTTGTTGTGATTTTCTTTTGTCGTATTCACCAACTCGACTCAGATCTGGTCCAGAGCTTCTCTATTTGTCGCCGAGCGCGTGTTGGTGCCCTTGCTTCAACTTGTTTTTCCTTTCTCTAGCTTCGTCTCGACTCTCGGTTTCTCCATCGTAGCCCAGGCAAAGGGTGATATGTTGGACTCGATTCATCGATGACCGACATCGGGTGCTTCGGGGATTTAATGGTGACCGAGGACGCCGAACCATGAGCACCTCCCGTGCGTGAGCCGTTCCGTTATTGGTGTTAGTTTTCATCTTTGCCGGAGTTGTTGATGACTTCAGTATGCGCCTCGACGTCGTAGATTGAGTCTCCTTCTTGGTAAGGTAGAATAGCTGTTGTTGTTGTGCCGACTAGTTGGGTTCCGCTATCCTCAGGAACGGATCTCGGCGATGGATGATCTGATCTTGCGATGTTATCGTTAGTACGAGACCCTCCTGAGCTCCTATCAGTGGTATCCCAAGTGTTGGATTGAAAGACCTTTCGAACTGTCCCTAATAGGATTTTGTCGTGTTGTCGAGCCCAAATGGAAAAGAACTCGGCCTTTTGAAAGAACTCTGAGGATAATCCGAGTTGTTTTGGGTTGTGCTCTGGAATCTTGCCAAAAAAGAACTCGATTTCTTGAAAGCACTCGAATAAGACTTCATCTCGGATACGGAGCTTGAATTCGAGTTGGATGCGTGTAGCCGTGGAATCTTATTGAATCGGGTATTATGGGTCTTGCGCGAATCTTTCGGTGAGCTGATCTATCGTAGTTGTCGAAATAGGAAATTCTTCATGATGATCCGGATCTTTGAGGAGATGGCTTTGAAGCTTGCCGTAGTTGTGCGCCTCGCAGATCCATGAGCCGAAAATGAAAATCGATCCCGTCGGGAAGATCATGTTATCGAGGTCCATCGAGCTCTCGGAGGCAAAGTCGCCGAAAGCCCCTACCTGGCGCGCCAGCTGTCGGTGTTTCACCACCGATAGCCCGCCTCGGGTACCCGGCGGTGTTGTTCGCTTCGGCAGTATCTTGAACTCGATGGTAAACGCAAAGAGACGATCGATTTATCTGGTTCAGCCCTCGATCGTAGATCGAGTAACGACCCTACGTCCAGTCGGCGTTTGCCTTTTGCGTTGGATTGATTATGAAGTGTTATGTTGTACAATTATCCTCTCTTTCAGGAGCCCTGCCCTCCTTTATATTGTCAGGAGATCAGAGTCCTAGTCGGTTTACAATGAGATTTCCTAGTAGGATTACTTAATAGTTCTACTATTAAGATTACATGGGAAGAATCCTAGTTGAACTAGATCTTTTATCTCTCTTGCGGGGTATCCTGTGGGTCCCGCATCAACAATCTCCTAAAATGAGTGTGCTCAGATTCTTATCTTCATGGCCTGTAAGTTTATGATAGGTTTTCTTGTTCCAATGTGTTCTTCCTCTTTTTATTATGCACCTGCAGCCATAGAAAACACAAAACTGAGAGCAAATTCATTAGATGGGTATAAGAGAAAAATACAAAGAAAAACTAATTGTTAGGTTGAACATCATTACTATATTATAGCAGCTATATACAAAACACAAAACATGGAACACATGAGTTAGTTAAACATACCATGCAGCTTCATCTCTCCAGTTTGCAACTAGACTTCTTTCCTGGATTTGTGTCAAAAAAGTCTATGCCTTAACACTTCTTGATCTGAGACTCAGCAAATTTTAAAAATTCTTAAGGTGCATTGCGTCTCATCTGATTAACCTACAACTCTATTGCTGCACTTTTTTTTCTAGATGATGATCATGTAGCACTTTCACCTTGCACAAAACCATGTTCGTTCAAGTTTTCCACCACATGCTCATCATTGCTCAATGAGGAAATCCCAGTATACAAGTTCATTTGAATGAGTATCCAATTAGTTGACATCAAAAGTTTTAAAGACACATGCATCCCTTTAAATCGATTTGATTTCTAATAGAATCTCACACGAAAATATTTACAGCAGAAATGCATAATTTACTGAGCAACTACTTTTAATCAAATGCGGAACTTGTAAATTAGCGTGTAGAGTTGAGACTCGAGAGCAAAAATCATAACTCAAATACTATGTGTTCAGGGAGTTTCATTTACATAAATACAAGTTCAGATACTAGAAAACTGAAAGGTACAAGTTCTTAGGATTACATGGCTATAGAAAACGCAAAATACATGTCGGGTATCGATATTAGGGATACCCAAAGCAAGGAAGTTAGTGTCCATGTTGACTTCCCCGGATGGCTCGAGACGTGTTAAAAGGTCTCTTCCGACCTCGAGGCCGCGGGCTCCATCTCGCCCGACCCCTTGGGTGCGGGCTCCGTCTTGCCTGACCCCAAGGACGCGGTTTTTGTCTTGTCTAAGGTCGTGGGCTCTGTCTCACTCGACCCCAAGGATGCGGGTTCTGTCTCGCCCAAGGCCGCGGGCTCCGTCTCGCCCGACCCCAAGGACGCGGTTTCCGTCTTGCCCAAGGTTGTAGGCTCCGTCTCGCCCGACCTCGAGGACGCGGGTTCTGTCTCGTCCGACGGGGACCCATACCACCGCCAACCACTCTAGGTCTAAGTGTATGGGCCTGGGTCAAAACTCTGATGCCAGGGAAGAGGCTGGCAGGCCTCGATGTAACCCGTGACTATAACGGGCCATACCTGGGGATTCACATCAAGAACAGTGTCGGGCGTGTCGGTGTTGTTCTGCCTAATCCTTGTACGGACGCTGACAGGCGCGTCAGTTCACCACGATGTCCGTCGGGACAGAGTGGAACGCCATGACCGGCAGATGACACTTGCGCATGGCGCCAGTGACGAACAGGGTCGTGACATGGAGCCGTCCCTGTTGACATCTACAGGATTGGCGGGACCCGCATGAAGAAGAAGAAGGACCCGACAACTCTGAAAGTTTTCTTCTATCTCTCGTTCTTCTCCTTTTCCTCCTCTATAACCCGCGCTTTTCCTTCGTCTATAAAAGGGGAAGCAGGGCGTCCCATGAGGGGGGAGATCGGGGGGATCTTGACACAAGAGTACGACACGAGTACACGGTTGAGCGACAAGCAAGCTCTCAGCATCCGTTCACTCCTTCCACCAGAGACTTGGGATCCTCTCCCTCTCTCGCCTATTTGTAACCCCTACTGCAAACCAAGTGCCGGTAACACGAGCAACAGGGAACTGGACGTAGGGACATTTTGCCCAAACCAGTATAAACTCTTGTGTCCTCCGAGCACACCATCCGAGCCAGATGCGTAAATACAAATTTACTCGTCGGTGGTCCAAAAACACCAACAATATAGAAGGACAGGAGTTGCCTGATCTGAACAAGCCAATCTGCTGAACAAGAAAATATCCATGATCCATTGCAAGTATTGGGTGTAGGTGATGTTAATGGAATTGATCTTTTACCTATCCTCATCTTTCAAGCTGCAGGTCAGACCGATGAAGTGGGTGAAGGTGACAATGATTGAGGGCATCATTGGGGTCTTATCCTGATGAAATTGATGAACAACAACAAGTTCATGAATGTAAGCACATGTGCACAATAGATGCATTTTTAGCTTCTAGTAGAAAAAAAATATGTACGAACCGAACAGGATAATTCATAGGGGAGGATATCACATGATGCTGACCTTCCATTTGATTTAAATGATCCACAAGAAGAACAAGAAAACCTACATGGAGGTATTATTTGCATCATTTCCAAGACATGTTACCAATATTAGTTTTGTATGATACAAAGTGTCATTATCCATGTACTGACAAATGCATGCACCATCTAAATTATTTTGGTAGGCAATGACGATATTGGCTTACAAGATGCACAAGATGCCATGGACGATCTCATACAAGAATTTGGCATGTATACACAGATGTTGTGAACATCATATTTGATGAAGAAGAGTTGACCGACTCAGATGACGAAGAATTTCAGGAAACACACCAAGACGAAGCATCAAATGCAACCAAGAATTTGACGGGAAGACAAAGGCAAGACATATATGAAGATTTGCTTCAGAGAAGCAAGAATGGTAAATTAAAAAGGACAGACACAACACATGTTGCTGCAAAGTTCAATGTGCAACTGCGTACAGTACAACGTATATGGCAGAGAGCAAAAAAATGCAAGGCACAAGGTATACCAGTAGATGTCAAATCACTAAAACCTAAGAATTGTGGTCGTAAAAATTTGAAGTAGACCTATCAAGGGTTGCTGATATTCCCTTAAATAGAAGAGGTACCATAAGGTCATTAGCAAATGCTCTTGGTGTAAAGAAAACCACTCTACATAGGTGGTTAAAAGAAGGATTGCTCAGACGACACTCTAGTGCAATTAGGCCCTATTTAAAAGAAGCAAACAAAAAGGATAGGTTGCGCTGATGTGTATCTATGCTAGATCCAAGCACTTTGCCAAATAATCCCAAGTTCCTTAATATGGAAAATATTATCCATACAGATGAGAAATAGTTTAATGGGTCAAAGAAAGACAGAACGATTTACATGCATCCCGATGAAGAAGACCCACATAGGACAGTGTGCAACAAGAATGCAATTCATAAAATCATTTTTTTTTCTGCTGTTGGGAGACCAAGATTCGATGATGAAGGTAGATGTTATTTCGATGGGAAGCTAGGCACTTGGCCTTTTGTGCGAACGGTACAAATCTTCTCAATATATGATTTGCCGCCATTCTTGAAGCATGGTACTGCAAATAATACATAGGATTTCTGAAAATTATTGACTTTACTAGAATGAAAACAAAATTGATGGGAAATATAAGATGGCTTACCCAAAATGAGGATGAGCTTTGCTCACCGCAACAATGTCCAGTGGTTCCGTCTCAGGCATGAACTCATCATCGCCGCCAATTAAGGATGGACCATTATCACCTCCATCTTCATCAGAATCTGGGATCAACTCAAATCGGTCCGCGCCACCTTCTTGTGTGTCTTGGGCAAAATCCCGGCTTTCTATGGCGACACAGTGCTTTTCTCGATCCCACAACGTTCCGCGACGACGATCCCGGCCACGCGTGCGACTGGCAGGACGCATCTCACGGCTGGATTGGATCCGCAAGCGACGGATGAACCTGCTAGTCCCGTGTGCCCCCTTGCCACCCACCATTGGACGCCCGATTGAAGCACTGGAAGCCCGCTAATGTAAGAACCTATAAAAATTTCAAAATTAAATATAGACCACCGTGGTGGTTTAACGAAATTAAAAATCATCTTTGCTAAAGTCCTACGAAAAAAATCATGTGTGATGAATTAATGTTTCTGAGCATGCTTACATGAGTTCATAAATAAAGTAATTCTAGATTGAAAGGAGTATGCATGTCTATACTAATAAGCACGACCAAACAAGGTAAAAACCTAAATTGATTGAAACGTTCTCAAATGAATGTGCGTGACAGCAAACCTTCATAGGAGAGGCGGAGGCAACGCCTGTGCGCTAGTGCAGGGGGCTGGCTGGCATCGGCGGGTCCAGACAGGGAAGGGGAAGCCTCCACCCATACCCAGTGGAGGGGACAGGCCGGCGGTGCTTGACAGGGAAGGGGAAGCAGCCGCAGATCGGGGCAGCTCCCTTAGCCACGGACGAAGATGCGAGGGACGAGGGGCCTCGGAGGATGCGGGCGGAGGTGGCGCGCCGAAGGAGGCGAGCTGGGTGGCGGCCGCTCATGAGCCTATGGGCCGACCAGATCCAGATCGACATGCCGCCGCACGCGGACTATAGGAGGAAGCGGAGCGAAGGGCCGATGCCGCATGCGGACTGGAGGAGGAGGAGGAGGAGGAGAGCGGAGGGGCGACGCCGCATGCCGACTGGAGGAGGTGGAGCAGAGGGGCGACGACCACGAGCGGATGGGAAGAGGCCGAGAGGATACGGCTGGGTCGTTTTTTTAATTATTACCGCAAAAGGCATAGGCTGCGTCGGCTGCTTTACTATGTATGGGACCCATGTCGTAGCTACAACGACACTCTTTGTGGGACTGCGGCCGGACGCTAGAACGACACTAAGGCTGTCTTCAACAGGAGACCCATTGCGGAACTCAAACCCAAAATGAGTCTCTAACACAATACTTATAGCCTCCAACAGAGTATCTATATGGAAGACCTATTTTGGGTGACAGAAGAGGCATAACCAAAATCTGAATATCCTCTCTATTGGAGATCCATTTACAAAAAGTGTTGTCTTTTAGGTCTTGTTGTTGGAGAAGATCAAAAATATGTATTGAACCATTTGCCTGTAGCGCTATCCAAATGGCGAATGTGTCTTGATTTTGGGTCGCGGTTGTTGGAGACGGTATAATAACGGAACGGAGGGAGTACGGCTCTGGCTCCTGACATCTTGCCTGCAGGCTGCGACCTGGAAGCCCCAGCAGCAGCCAGTAGCAACAAGGAAGGTATGGGCCCTGTTCGATAGAATTTATTATTGTTGTGGCTGATTTACAGTGTTAATTTGTTATGAGAGAAAAATATTATTATAGTTAAAAAGTATGGACTGATTCCGCCTGTTAAGCCCGAGCGAACATGACCTTGGGCTCAGGCGGCCGTACTGGGCCGGGAGACTGCCATGACAGTGAGACGGTTGGCGATTGCGCCATGTCCCTCATCCCATGTGAGATCCTTCTGGGTAGGGTAGGGGCGCCATCATTTTCTTCCGAATTATTTGCTCCTTGGCCATTTTCCCTGCTGCCAAAATGACCAGATATACGGCCACTCTTCACTGGTCAGTGCGTCCTATCGAACTACCTGTGATTTCAAGCTTTCGCAATGTCTACTACTCTACTCCAAAGAACAGCTGTAGGCATAATGAGGGTTTGGTGTTTCTCTCCATCGGAGATGAAGAGCGCAATGGATTTTCTTGGAAATTCAATTTTTCAAAAAAATTCTTGGAGTAGAATCTAACTTGGCTACGCATAATTTGGGTTTGCTCTCAGGAAATCATTACTACAGTAGGAGTATTATTGTAGCTGAAGCGTGTCGGGGCAAAAGTCGTCGCAGTGTGCTAATAATTTCAGGTCCTGGACGTTGGACAGCTTGCTTGAACCTGCATGCTCATTAGTCACAACAAACATTCAGAATGCATGAGGTAGTTCCACCTGATGAGAATTTGTTCTGTCAACCGATTCGTCCCGTTTAAGTTAAGGACTCTCGCTTTTGTGATGGAGAAAAGCAAGGCGGCTACGATGGAGGAGGCAACTTAAGTCAACTTGGACTGTATTGAGGTTAAAAGGGCGGCTATTGTGTGTGACGTAGTGTTATTCCACTCATATAAGGGCAGAACTGCAGAAGAGGGCGACTTCTGAGCCGCAATGGTCTTGCGCTCCGTCCAAAGAATATAAAGTGCGCATCTTTCAAATTCTTCGAAATTCAGGCCCTTCTCTGACAAATTATATGTTCTACTGCACCCTTTTATTATTTTTACAAACTTTATTAAAAGGACGCAGCTAGTGTGTGACCCGTCACTATGGACAAGCGTGCGACCGGTCTCTCCGCAGCGCGCCCCCCCCACCTTCTTCTCCATTGACGGCACCCCTCCACCCCGTCGCCCTTGGCCAGCGGTAGCGTCATCGCCCGCCGCCCACCTTCCGCCCCTGCCCTTGTTGTTGCCCCCGCTGCTGCCCACCGTCCCGCTGCGGCGTGGTAGGGTCTCATCGAAGCTCCGCGGCTGCGGCCGCGGCCCGGCGAGACCCTACCGCGCCTACTGTGACCTCTCCTCTTCCCTCCCCCTACCGTCGTCGCCATGGCCATCGTCGCTTCCATCCCGACCTGGCCCGGCCGCTACCTCCGTCGCTGGAACCCTAACGTCGCCCTCCAATCGTCCCCACCGTTTGGCCAGCCACCCTCCCCCCCCCCCAAATCTCTTCTAAACCCGTCAGAGATAGAGATCTTACCTCACCGGAACCTTAACACTGCGAATTCCTCGTCTCCGACGCCAACAAGCTCCTCGCCGGAACCCTAGCTGGTTGGTTCTAGGCTGATAAGGCCGGTTGATGTTGGTTTGTTGTGAGAGGAAAATATTGTACCATGGACTGATAAGCCCTGGCAGGACTGAAAACGCAAAGCGAACAGGCTGATAGTTTCTATACCTATTAACTTATGTAGACATTACATATAAAAAACTATGTTCCTAATAGATAGTTTTGATAGAATATTTTTTTATCCAATCACATGTCTTGCGGTCAAAGAGCCAAATGGAGATGAAATCGAGGTATATAAATTGTGTTAACCTCGCAAAATGTGCACTCATGTATAATCAACAAGGCAATACAGTAGTTGAGATGTAGTTAGTACATAGGTAGCGCAACATCGGTCGAAGCTAGCCGGATAAAACTATAAAAGGCATAATGCTTCCCCAAGGTAATTTGGATGCTGACTTATGTTTTACCTTATATTATGTTTCATAATGGCCTAGATGTGTAATTTAGATGCAGATTTAAGTGGTTACTTTAGATTATCTTTGATAATGGTATAGATAGATAATTTAAATACATATTTGTAGCGTTACTTTGTGCTTTTTATAATAGGAAAACATCACTATTTGTAGGAAAATATTTTTATGCTATTATTCTTAACGGTGATTAGAATCTACTGAATTGATAATCAAGTATTTCTATTTTTCATTTCAATTTCTGTGGTTTATCTTGTTTTAGCGTGTCTCATAGATATTAGTGGAAATGATTTGTTGGGTGCCTCGAGTTAATGATAGCAAGATTGGTTACCACAAAGAAAGGCATGTATGGATATTCCATCTTTGCTCATCTTTAATGATGTGGAATTTTTAATCAATTTATCCTACATTTTTTTTTTGCGACTACTACTTATTTCAAAAACTAAACCTTGAACTTTCTTTCGTGTCAAATCTAGAGATGAAAACGAAAATGGGAGGTGTGTGCCCTGCCCTGCCAAATAGGAATCCTGGTAACGTCACCGGCGTATTGAAATCGAAATATTATTACTTCCTCCATTCCAAATTAAATAACATATAGAGAAAATTATAAAGATTTATGACATCAATAAGTATTACTATAAAAATATAATTAATGAGGAATCTAATAATACTTAGTTGATATCATAAATATTATTATTTTATTATATAAATTTGGTCAAACTTGAGATGTTTTAACTCTTCAAGATTCATGGATTGACTTATAATTTGGAGTGGAAGGAGTAGTTAGCTCTCGGCAACTTCTAGCTGACCAAGGAATGGCGGGGAAATGTAGTGGCAGTGTGCTCATAATTTGAGGTCGCGAAAGTTGGATAGCTTTGTGACCGGTTGAGCCTAGTGAACTACAACGAATGAACATTCAGAATGCATTGGTAGTTCCACCTGTTAAGTTGTTCTGTCAACCAACTCTCTTCCCGTTTAAGTTAAGCTCCTCTCTTTTGGGACGAAAAAGGAAGATGGTGGTGAGGAGGAGACTCAAGTTGACTCAAGAACGGCTGGTTTGTGAGGTCCTGCGATTCCATTCAGGATAACGCAGCCCTCTGCATTAAAATTTGGGCTATCATCCAACAGCTTAAATAAAAGTTGATCAGATGGTCTGTTGAAAGAAGCGCTTAAAACATACTACTCTGTAGGTGATGTTTCATTGGAATTGGATTAGTAGCAAGACTGATATGTTAAATAGGACCTTTAAAACGAGAAAACAAGGGAAAAACAACATCGTAAAAGACATGTTGAGCGGTTGAAGAGAACAGCGTATGTGATGAGGGCGAAGCTCAAACATATCGGCAAAAGCATGCTAAGCATCTCGAAACTTTAGGAGAGGCCCTCACTAATCACTACACAAGACAAAGGACAAGGAAAACCTATTATTAATAGCAAGTACCAACGATAAAGAGCAGACAGAGCAGCGGCAAGAAAACCATGTACACTAGTAGCAGAAAAGAAAACAGAGGGACTCCCTAGCTAGTACGCGGTGCCGGCGTTGGCGGCGAGCTTCATGGAGGCCGGGAGCGGGCTGCGCATCGGCGAGCGCGGCGGCGGCGCCTGGGCGAGGCGGCGGCCGTCGGCGTCGTAGTAGATGACTCCGGGGAAGTCCAGCGGCTGGCAGCGCTCCCCCATCATGATCTCCTTCCTCCACACCGCTTCCCCCGCCTCCTCCTTTGCCGCCGCCTTCC